GAGAAGAAAGTGGTCTGATGGTGTACTGGTAATTACCAATTTCCCCTTTGGATGAAAAAGAAATCAAATTAACTAAGAAAAATGGATGTCACTTGGTATATTTGAGCTTGGGGCAAAGAGAAATCTCATTCTCCAGGGAATCAATGTTATCAATACATGTTTCATTTCATGGTTAGCTTATTGTGAATTTGGGCTGGTTTTGAAAGCAGCTAATGACATGGGCCAGAAGCAGGCCTAGGGGAAGCTGAGAAATCATCCCTAGTGCAGATCCTGCAAAATGTCTGCATCTATTCCCCTTATGAGGGACTATCAATAGTGGCAGGAGTTTAGAGAGAGAAGGGGCCAGCTTGAAGTGATCATACTAAAATGTCTAAAGACTCGTTTCTCTTGCCATGTTCTCATCCTTTATGACTCCTCCTGCTCCTCCTGTGCAGGAGCTGGCTGCAGTCGAACACCACACATCCCAGGCACGCACACACAAGCTATCCTCCACTTGCTGATCAGCAGCGACGGACGTTGTGGTCCTGCATTCCTTGCAGATTCAGATTTCCCAGAGAGAGGCAGACTTTAGCAGAATGGGCAAGAGAAGACAGATTTTGGTGCTCTGATTCATACTTTCATATAATACAAGAACAGGGGGGTTTCAGTGAACAGCAATAAATTGACCCTGAAAAGGATTTTTTTTTTCCCCCTGTAAGGCAGTAATTGCCCTGCAGAACTCACTTCCACAGGATACCGTTAGGGACACTTAGCAATCCATAAGCTAGATCTCTACAGAATAGTGAGCATATTTGCCACAACATACAACTTCTATATGGCATAAAAAGTTAAGGCCATAAATTATCATGTCTTTAGGCCAAAAGCAGATATTTAACTAATGGAACTGATGGTAGTTTTTCTCTCTTAGGCCTATTACTTCTCTATCATTCAACAGGATCTTTCATTCTCCAAATCACGTGTAACTACCCACAGCCCCTGGGTCAGGTGGATCATAGGGCACATTTGGTCTGGCCATTCTTGCATTTGGGATTTATTTCATCAGCCTCAGCAGTAGTGAGAGAAGGCACTTCCTCTCATTTACTCCAAGGCTTTCTCTGTTGCACTTTCACCTTGTAGGGAGGCCTCGATTCAGATGCTTGTATTTGTGCCTTACTAATGCCTTTTTCCATTGCCAAAGCAATACAGAGAGAGCTTTAGGGACAGTGAGAATCAGGCTCAAGGAATGCAGGATATTTCATGTTCCAGCAGAGGGGTGTGCTATAGTCTGCTCTTTCTCATCCACATAATTTTAGCAGGTCTTTTGAAGCAAGCCTTTCAAGCGTGCCGAGTCAGATGCACTCAACCAGCATCATGAGCAGTCTGTAGATCACTGTGATTGCTAGTGTATTACAGGTGTTCTTCCTACTAAGGAACACAGTGGCAGCGCATGAAGCTTAGAAATAGCTGTAAAGTTGGGATACTGTAGTTGTTTCTACTGAATTGAACATTTTAAAAGGTAAAGGGATTGATGTTTGAGCTACTAAGTCCATAAAGGAGCACTTAAAAAATAAGTGACCTGATGTGCAATTTCACTCGCATTTGTAGTCAAGCTTCCAGATCCTCCTTATCTTTACAAAATCAAGTCACTATTTTTTAAGCCTGGAAGTTCAATAAAATCAGTTTATATTTCATGGAGATGTTTGTGAAAACCTTGATGTAAAGTCTGACAAGTGATTTAAAATTCAATCTTGGATGCCTTAGCTTTAATTTAAGAAGTTTGTTTACCTTTTAATTAGCACCTTTCATTCACTCACATCTGATCTTTAAATCACTGAAATACTGAAGATGCTTTGTTATATAGTTGCATTTTTTGATGCAACCTTGAGGGAAGGTTGAAAAATGGAAGAATCAAATTTGCACAGGATTTTTCTTTCTGCACACACTAGTATCTAGATTTTGGTTGACATAAACCCCATTTAGTACTTCAAGCGTACTGGCATATCTCTACTGATATCAGAGCCATATTTCAGGACATGTTACATCTTGACTTTAACTCACAGGACTTATCAAAAGGTAGTTAAGCAGCTTTTCCCCAGACCTCAGATGGCAAATCAGCAGCTATAGTTTTGGAAGCCGGCTAGAATTTTTCATGGAAATATATGGGAGAACAGAAAACTTTTTGATACTGAATATCTCAGAAAAGCAAAACCAAACCAAACTAACAAAAAGCTTTCCTCAAGGAAACACCTTAAAAACCTTTTGTATATCTTCACTTCTCATTCTTCCTTCCTGTCCCTTGCCTCTAGAACGTTAACTTTTTGTACAGATTTCTATACAGAATGCCTTTACATATCGGACATGAATTTGCCCTATTTGTCTTAGGTTTTGTCTTTCACTTCTTGGTTTACATGACAGCATTGATTTTATCGATACAGCTATGAGAATAATATTTGTTAACTAACTTGTGCTCCTTCTCTAGCCCAGCCAAAGTAACGGAGATATTCTAAAAAATCCTTAAATTACCCAAAACAAACTGGTGACCAAAAAAAAAAAAAGTGCTACCAACTAAGAGGCTCATTTGCCCTTGCCTCAAGGTCTCTTTACACTGCCTAGTGCAATTGAGAATCAGGCCTTCAGCATTTAGGATCTGCTGAACAATACCTGGCAGGTTGCAAAAAGATTCAGAGACTGAATCATCTGTCAGTTTTTTCCCCAAAATAAATCAGTAATGGAACAGGTCTACAACCTAGCAACAAGGTTACCTGTGCTGAATCACAGATATCTGATACAGAAGCTGCAGGTGTAAAGAACACTCAAGATTATATGTGGAAATCTATCGATTCATTATTTAGAAAGTTGTCCAGCATAAAAGAATGCCTCATGTGAAATATTCAGTGTTTACAAGCAACTTTTTGTAAACTTAAGAAAGCTTAATTTAAATATAGACACATGTAAAAGCTAAACTAGCAATTCTTCTTTTTTTTTTTTTTTTCTTTTTGCATATTTTTGTTAGGTGCTTCTTCTCTGCCTAAAATATAAAGTCCAGAGTGCAGCTGGTGCAAATCCTAAAATTTCAAGCAAGTCAAAGATAGTGTCAGACACTGATCCAACTGAACTAAGGACCCAAGTACTTTGGGAGTTGGCTTTGGGGGGAAAAAATTCTCACAGAGATACACAGAAGACTAGGGAGAACACCAGCCCAAACACAATAAAACAAAATACAAAACACCAACATATATAGGCAGATCAGGAATTAATCTTTCACACTGAGCCCACATTCCTTGCATAGGCTTGCATATGCAGAGAATGTGGGATGTGGCCCTTGAAGTTAGACTTTTTTTTCAAATGAAGAAGGGAAGATTATTTGCAATGGTAAAATATTAAGTTATTTTGGCATCAGCACAAATTACAGGGGCAGGATCGGATTCCCACACAAATATGGAAGCTCTCTAGAGAGCAAGGCAGGGATGAGAGAACAATACAGCAGATTAATTCTTCTCCAGTGACCAGAAAGAAGGGAAATCCTAGGTATTACACATTACCAAAACTTTCACCATTTTTTCAAATAAGAAAAAAAGAAGAGAAAAAAAAGAAAAAAAGATTATAATGTCTATCATCCCAAAGGCCAAGGGAACATTGCTAGAAAATCTCTTTCTCAAAAGGAACCTCCCTTCAATAGAAAAATGAGATGGAATCAGAAAAAAAATACCCCAAAAACCTCAGTAGGAGCCAAAAGAGAACCACATAACTCAAAAACAAAATAGCAGTTCAAATGATACTGCAGGACGCACAAACTCTAGCAGATAATCTCACAGGTGACTTCACAGAGCCTTCCATTGACCCAAACAATTTTTGTTTTCATTAGAAAAAAAAACAAAACAAAACAGGGGGGAGGGAGAGAGAGAGAGAAAGAAGGAGATAGACAAAATAATACTAGAAAAGAAAATTAAGAAACATTCTTCCTCTTTTTTAAAATAAAAATCAAGATCATCTCCCCTCCCCACCTCTATCTGGAAGCAGGTTAGCTAACCTTAACAGTCTCAATTTAAAATAAAATATATATTTATATATATTCATATATATAATAAAAGAGAAGATATTAGTGGCAGTGTATGCAAAACAAAAAAGAAAACAAAGAAAAATTACTTTTAACAATCTCACTTTTTTGTTTTTTTACACAAATACTGTTGTAAATATATTAAAAAAATCAGCATTCTATCTGGTAAACGTCACTTTTGCCCCTCTATAAAATTTTGAATTAAAAAAGTCCCAAGAACTCTTTTTTTTTAATTACTCCTCTCCCCACCCACCCTCTATTCTTCCTTCTTCCACAAGAATAAATCCTGATGCAACTTTTTTTTTTTTTTTTTTTGCAAAGATTGTGGGAACTAACCCTTCTCTTGTACCTAGATCCATAGGCTGCAACCTCTGATGTCTTTGCTTTTCTTTGTGTTTCCTCTTTGCCTTCTGTGAAAGTCCCTCTTGATTGTGCTGAGGCCCTGGGCTCAGCGAAGACACTGAATAAATTACAAAAAGCCACCGTTGCTCGTTGTCTTACTCTTCTTGGTTTCTGCTGTAAGGTGGTGTGGTGCTATGGGAAAAGCAGTGGGGAGGGTGAGCCCGAGAGCGTGGGATGGAGCAGAATCCAGGTGAGGAAGCTCTGATTCTCCTTCCTCATCCTGCAGGGACTCCACACTATCCAAGCCACACTGCCTTGCACTCCCCTCAGCCCTTCTGCGGGTGTTTGCAGCTGCAGGTGTGTGGGAGAAAGCAGACGCGTGGTAGAAACCAGCAGGGCCTTGTTTCCTCTGGTTGCTGTTCAACCAGAAGCAAAATATTCCACAGTTCTAACTGGATACTGTGAAGTCCAAAAGAGGCCAGAATTGTGAGTTATGTCCATTGAAACACTGCGAGCGGTGTACTTACAATGACAGTAGGCCTTGTAGATTCTGCAATATATTTTGTTTTTTGTAGTGCTCTTCACAAGTGAGAAAAAAAATGTTTTTTGTTTTTATTTTTTCGTCTGTTTTTTTGTGGTTTTTTTGTGTTTTTTTGTGTTTTTTTTTTTTTTTTGTAGTAAAGAAGGGTTGTATTTAGAGGCCAGTAGCTAGAGATCCAACCAGTGGAGCTCATGAAGCACTACCTGGCCTTAAGGCCACCATCCGAGGGAGGCTAGGAAAATTATTATTCACCCAGCCTCCGGAAATGTAATGTACCAGCAGGCAAAAAACAGTTCTTCATGTAGTACAAAAACAACAAAACGAAACGAACCCAAAAAAAGAGGAAAATAAAGGTCAAAATGAAACAAAAATCATTTCTTAAATTCTAGTGCGATAGCTTTTTTGTTGTTGTTGTTTCTGTTTTTTGTTCATAACAAAGAGAGAGAGAGAGAGAGAGAGATTCTACTTATCCGTCTGACACATGCATCCTCATGTGGTCGTTGAAATGCTCGATTTGGTCAAACTTAGCTGGACAGACAGAGCAGACGTACGTGGTCCCCTCCGTGCAGGCCACCACGCCAGCAGGGACAGCCCTGGTGCCAGTGCCCGTGGCGCCAGGCGTGCCGTTGGTGGCGCTGTGCAGGGCCACATGCCTCTCCAGCAGGGTCTTGTGGGAGAACTTCTTCTTGCAGATGTAGCACTCGTAGGACTTCTCCCCGCGGTGGAGGCGCATGTGCACGTTGAGGGAGCTCTTCTGGGTGAAGCGCTTGTTGCAGATGCTGCACTGGTAGGCCCTCACACCGGTGTGCGTCACCATGTGTTTGATTAGGTAATCCTTCAGTGAGAAGGAGCGCCAACAGATGCTGCATTGGTGGGGCTTCTCACCTGTTCGTTGCCGAAGAGGGGAAGAGAGAGAGGAAGAGAAACAGACACACACACACACACAAAGATAATAAATTGAATCACCTCTGTGTGACTCTTCGCCAAAAACGTACGGTTAAGACTGGCTGGGATCTCTGGAGGGATACTCTGACTAAGGAAGAGTAATTGTGTTAATAACTGTGCTTTCAATACAAAGTATATTTTGCAACTAGAGGTTTCACGGCGCTCCCCCAGCGAGGCCATGGGTATTCTATATTTACACACAGTAATAGGAAGCTTAGATGACTTGTTCAGGCTCACTTGGTAAGCAGTGGCAAAGACAGGACTTGAATTAGAATGACCCTGTGCTTCAATGTGTCTCTGCTGGAAGCTGAGGGAGAAGCCTGGCATTCCCCTGTTGTCCTCATTTCTAGAGGATCTTAGTCAAGTTATTTTACCTTTAAGTTCCTCTGTCTCTCCAGTGGCATGCCATGAAAATACAGACAAAGACAGAGATCTACCTGCCTTTCACAGCATTTTGATGCTTAACGCACTCTTTTTTTTGTCACATTGTTTTAAATTTCTCAGAAGAGAAATGCTAGAGTAATGCAAAGGATTTCTGCTCTTCATAAAAGGTTTACGTTTCTTGTCCCTTTTATTGGTCAAATCTGGTAACTCAAGCATGGACAACTTTAATGACAAGGGTCTTCAATACACAGAATAACTTAGGCCAGCCAGTGCAACGGAAATGGCAAGCCAACAGATACACTTCCAGTATGACAGACTTGAACTTTAAACACTGTGATTGCCCATTAAATAAAACACCTAACCAAGTATATCAGAGATACAAAATACTTATGTCATCTACCGCACTGCCCTCCCTGCCCAAGCCACAGTAAAGCTGAAGGCAGCAACTCGTACAACCAAACTCCAACCCCATTCAGGCAATCCAATGACTATGAGGATGCACTGAACAAAATACTTAGCCAATAATATGTGACTTGTTTGCCAAGAGTTTTCTTAATTGGTCCTAATGCTGAGACTTGTTTAGGGAGATGATGCCAGAGCCTCATATTTCATAGGACGAATCAACATTTTTCATAATATGCAGCCATACCAATAACGCAACCAAGTGGCTAAATGCCCCATCAAAATCTGCCTTTTAATTTGTTTCCTAGACTACCTGTGGTATATTTCAGGCGTGGCAATTTGTGATCACCAAATCTGTCACGGAGAGAGATGGTACCTTATCTCCAAATCAATCAGAATAACTCTATTTCACAGACTGGAATTTTTTTGGGGGGGTCATTCTGCAATTTCCTATCTAGTGGAGATTCTTCACTTCCACAGACATCCTGCTTGCTTCTTCTTACAATCTATTTCTGACTATTTTAAACTGTGAAGAGTCAGTCTTCAGGAACCATCACGTAACTGTGGCAATACATCATTTACTTTTTGTAGAGCGAGATTACAATTTGCTACTTATAATCAATTTTAAGAGAGGATAATTAATATGGATTGGGTGCACGGTCCTACATTTTAATCTCCTCAGAGTCTTTGTGTCTCTTTCATAGTTTGCAGATATGATGGTAAGATCTGTGAACGAAATTCACAGGGTGTTCCTTCTCGTACCAATGATGAATTTGTCCCTACTTGGTGAAAGACATTGGTCAAAAGCAAACAAATGAAACAAAAACCCAAGCAAGGCCTCACGTGCTCTGCTGTGCCAACATAAGTAGTGTAGTCAGTATAAACAGGCCAATATGCTGGACATGTGCATGTTATGCAGAATAATAGTGCGTTAGCTCTAATCATGCCAGATTAATGTATGAAAGACTGATTTTATTTACCTTGCTCCTTTCTGCCTTAGGCAAAGTATCTCTCAGAGTCTGTAACATGACCTCCACTCTAGACTCTGTTAAGATTATGCTATAAAAGCACCCTATTTTTTGTCCATGCACATTTTAAATACAGAGGTTCTAGCATTCTAGCCTTAACTTGAAACCTTACTGGAAATTCTTGTCTCTTAAGAATCTCACAATATTTTAGGTTTTCTTTCTTTTGAAAGCAAATTTATTTGCTTTCTAAGCGATCACTCTGTTGCCTTTTTCCACTGTGGATTCCTTATTCTCCTGATTCTTCATCCTGAAGTCAGACACAGCAGTGCTCAGTGAATTAGATGTGTATGCTCCTACTCCTGGCTCAGTTTTTCATACTTGGCTCTTTTTAGACAACAATATGGGAGAGCCATTGCATATTAATCATAGTACGATATGAAGGCAATGATGGCTTACAAGGTGCAGACACACTGCACATGTTCCAAAGCCAGTCTGGAGGAAACATAGCACAACATCAACCTCTACTATGTTTGTGTATATGAGAGAGAATATGGGGAGGTAGGTAAGTGTCTGCATAAAAAACTAGATTAAAGTTTTTGAAAGGATAAAACACAGGCAGAGATTGGGAGGCTTTTAGTTTGTTGGATGCTTCTTGAAGCTTTAGACTCTTCTGCAGATTTTCTCATGAGCCACTCCAGGCAACAGAATTAATTCACTTGCATCTCTCAAAACTTCCAGTCTTTTCTTGAATCCTTTCCAGCGTCATTATGTCTGCCCTCTTTTCACAGGGCTGAGCAAAGCCATTTCACCAGCCACCCTGACAGCAGGAACTGCTGTCTCTTCTCCCAGGTCTTCCCAGTGACCTGCCCAGCACTGGAAAAGGCAATAGTTAGGCTTCCACTGAGGCTATACATTTAAAAGTTGTTTTCGGGAAGGATTTTTGAGCCCTGTCCTCTCTTGGCTAAAGTGCTATTATTTTCCAGGACATTCTCGGAGCCAATTAGAGGCTAAATTAAATCATAAGTCATTTATCTAACCAGTTGTCTCCTTCCCATTAGAAGTTCATTATTTTTGGCATTCTCAGACCCACAAAATATTAATTCACATTGGAGACATCTATCAATTGCCTTGCTTGAATGTATGATTAACAGCTAGGAGTATTTTAGGCCAGGTCTTTCAATATCATTCTTAATCTGACTCCAAATTCCAAATGTAGTGCACAGCTGGGGAGAGAAGGGGAGAAGCACCTAATCTCAGTGAAATTATCTGTGTAAATGCCTTTTTAGCTTTATGAATGTGGGCTAAGGCAAATATATTTGACTGTATTTAATAGGGATATTTTTCTCAATGACACAACACTATCTACACATTACTTTATTTACTCATCCACATCAGAAAGATGGAGAATTACACAAACAGTAATCTTGGGATTCAGGATCCTTGATTATTGTAGTTATTTACTTTGTATCAGTTCTGAGAACTGAACTTTTTATAATGCATATGTATATGTGTGTCTGCCATACACATTTCTAGAGGAATTTAAGCGATACTTACCCATAAATTGAAGTTAAAAGTTTGTATTGACATATATATATAAGGATATGAAATGTATTTGATACAACAGGGAGGTATGCATGACTTACATTCCTGCCATATCTTAGACAATTTCTCCAGCTTCTATTCCAAGCATAATACTAATTTTAAGCTTTGATGTTAAAAAAAAACACTGCTTGGTGAGATAATTATTCATTCTATCTTTTTCCAAACTAGAATTTCTTTCTGAAGTGCAGAAAAAGCTGAGGTCTAAGGCAAGCAAAATTTAGTTCTGATCCCAGGACAGTTTCTGTACTCACAGCTAGTGAAACACTTGACTTATCAAGAGACAGGAGATTACAATAATCAGGATCAGTGAAGTACGTAAAAACTTCTTGAAAAAAAAGGTTTATTTTTCCTATGGAAAATTCTCTTTCCTATGGTAAGATGTGGTATGTAGAAAATGTGACAATGTGTGTAACACCGAGCCTGAGATCTACTGCTTCAACTCTATCAGTAGCTTGCCAGCCATCACCACACGTGCCTAAACCTTCATAACTAAAACCTACACAG